CATATCACACGCCAAATTAAACAATTATTTTGGGCCACAAAGACTAAATTAAAGATTTCATTGCGGAAATGAATCTTACTATTCACAATACCCCCGATGCACCACCAACTTTTTGCAACCCAATGGGTGAGTCTTCTATTGACGTGACGCTTACGCACGGCGACATCTCGATATCCGGATGGCGTGTCCTCCCGGACGCATCCTGTAGTGATCACCGCTTGATCGCGTACGAATTCATACCAAGGGTTGCACGGGATCCACAAAGGGCTCCTTTTAATTTTAGATATAAAACTAAAGGTGCGAACTGGGCTTTGTTTGGTTCACTATTTACAACTCATACCAAAGACTTCAGTCGCAGTAGTTTATCAGCTGAGGAAAGCGCAGAAATACTATCAGAAACTTTCACATACTGCGCCGATGTATCTATTGGTCGCGGATCTATCACTAACACTCGTAGATGTGATTGGTGGAATGATAGATTAGTCGAACTACGTAGAAGCTGCCGGAAAGCTCGTAGAAAATTAAACAATTTTAAAAAACACAACGTAACAGGAGATTTGTATAATAATGCTCTCATTGCTCTTAGAGTTCCCAGGTCCCACTACAGAGCTGCAGTGGAAAAATCGAAGGGAAACTTAATTCAGAAACTTGTCGATAGACTCGATAGAGAGGGCCCGTGGTCACCTTTGTATCACGAATTTAAGGCAAATAGATCAATCGACCTTGCATACATACAGAACATCAAAATTAATAACAGATATACCACGGGAGTAGAACAAACAGCAGAATATCTTTTAGAATCACTCGTACCTGACGATCGGCCGGAAAACGACACTGATCATCACCGACAGATCAGGCAGTGGGCCATCGAACCACCACTGTCTCCAATGTCTGATTTACCATCTTCAGACGAATTTCTCGGTATCATTAGATCCTTGCCACTAAACAAGGCTTCGGGCGTTGATAAAATATCTAACAAAATGATCAAAGAAGCTTGTAAACTTTCGGGTGACACGATTTTCACTGTCTTTAAACGTTGCATTGCTGAAGGAATATTTCCTCGTATATGGCGGTGCAGTAATATTCGTATAATACCAAAAAGTGGCGACAAGCCACCGGATGATCCTAAATCCTACCGACCAATCACATTGTTACCATCGTTAGGAAAGCTTTTAGAACGTCTTGTAGTGCCCCGGCTTCTGCCAGGTGGAGTCAAATTTCATGATAGACAATTTGGATTTACGTTGGGTAAATCGACAACTGACGCTGTTATATCGGTTAGAAAGTTTGTCACAGAGTCAAAATTTCAATACGTGCTGGCTATTTTCTTAGATATATCTGGCGCCTTCGATAACGCATGGTGGCCCATGCTGTTGCTGAAATTAAAATCACGGGGGTGCTTTAAAAATATTTATTCCCTGATATCTTCGTACTTTTCACAAGGTACTACTAAACTAAAACTTGGTCATCATTCTGTGTCGAAGGCGCTTACAATGGGATGTCCGCAGGGATCGGTGCTAGGTCCATACTTGTGGAATATCGGCTTCGACGAGTTTCTTGCGATACCAATACCATCCGGATGTACTCTGAACGCGTATGCTCATGACGGCTTATTACTGGTGGAATCTGATACTAGGGCGGGGCTTGAGAGATTAGCCAATAGATGTTTGAACTTGATATCTCAATGGGGTGAACGTAATCGCTTAAATTTTGCACCCAACAAAACCTTCCAGCTACTTTTAAAAGGTAACCTCAAATCACCGCCAAGCATTAGATTTGACAATGTTACTGTAAAAAATAAGGCCTCAGTCTGTTACCTAGGATTAGGTTTTGGAAAAAAAAAATCATTTATCGAACATATTAAAATAGTAAATGAAAAGTCTAAAAAGAGTTTCTGTGCATTGAAAAGGATATCAACTGCGACATGGGGTCTATCATTTAATACATTAAAGATCATATACGGAGCTACTTATTTAGGTTCTATGTGCTATGGTGCACCTGTATGGGCCGATAGGGCGACCGTAGGCGCTGTCCGTCGCAAACTGTTACAAGGCCAACGACTTGCACAAGACACATAGGACGGTTAGCACTGAGGCTTTGCCGGTGTTGGCGGGTGTGCTTCCGGTCGATCTCGAGGTGCAGAGACGTGCAGCCATGTACTATTCAAGACAACAAAACATGGAATGCGATTTTTTGGGCGCGCGGGATCGCGGTAAAATTACAAGATTGCTTCAACAGCAGCCCGATGTCTATAATGACCTCATAGACGAATGGCAACAACGCTGGGATGAATCATCCAAGGGGCGCCATCTTTACCAATTCTTTCCATCTGTTCGCGAACGGTTGTCGAGGATATGGCTTGAGGTGGATCACTGTGTCGCTCAATTTCTTACGGGTCATGGTAACTTTAAGAGCAAGCTTTATTCATTTAAATTAGTCGAGTCACCATTGTGTCAATGCTCAACACCTAACTCTCACTATGAACAGTCTGCTCATCATATCCTCTGGGAATGTAGTCTTTGGTATAATGAACGTAATATAATGCTGAATAGCTTGCAGGTGACATCTGGGGCGGTATACTATGGTGATCTTGTGTCAACTAGGGTGAATTTCCGTGCGTTTAGGCGATTCTGCCATACATATTATAGAAATCAAACATAGTTCACGTAGGACCCGTAATATTTGTGGCCGTGGTGCTTCCCTGTTTAAAAGGGTGTATGCCCATTTTACTTCATTTTGTCTCCCGCTTTGCTAAGGAGGGAAGTGGATTTACTGTATTTCCAACTCCTCCAATTTTCTTCTGATTAATTTCGTTGCGGGTTCCAAGACAGTTTAATTTCTTCCTGGGACTTCCCGAGTGTCATAACTCGGTGTGTTCGTGGGTCACTGCTGTGGATCCTGGTGTACACGAGTTACAGTGGTGGGCGTGTGGGTGGGATTAGTCCCATATAAGCCGTGGACGCCTCAGCATGTCGTGTCATGCGGTTTCATTCTTTAGATTATCATGCCACCATATCCCGCGAATAACATAGGTCACACTAGTATCCCTCGTATTCAAGGGCGGGAGACAGTCAATCAGTTTCGTCTGCGCGAATACAAAGTTGGTTGGGTCGTTCTGAGCGACTGGAATTTAGTACTATTAGCAGTTCTTTCTGAAGATGAAGAGAGACATACACAAACTGATATATTTTATTTTATTTTATAATTTTTGGAAAACTTACAGCTAAAAAAGACAGTGCACACATTAATAATAGCTAATGATGGCCAATTACAAGTTTTCACATTCAACTAATTAACTTTAATATCTTAACATCTAAACAACTTACTACTACATATATGTATATAACACAACATAAACTATCATAATAATCGTAAAAATTGATAGTAACTTAATCCTAAACATCGAAAAACTGGTTACACATGATCCTTTTCATTTTAGTGACAGTGTTGGTGAACAGGTCGATATCTACATTTAGACATGTCATATTATATATGCGGCTGGCCCTTACTAAGTAGGAATTTTCCCTGTAGTTTGTGCTTACAAAAGGAGCGTGCAAGAGGTGCGATCTGCGACCTAGATGGTACACTTAGTGCGATTTTGTTCACAAACTCAGTCACTTGGATTGAGCCATTCATTACATTAAATAACAACAATAAGTCCGCAATTTTCAGGTTTAAGATCGTTTATTTCTCACAAAGAATAACATAAACTATTCACTTACATGAGAAAATCAAATTACAGTTTCATTGATTTAGCTGTGATACAGAAAAAAGCAATTCAAACAAAATACCAACAAAATAATTTCTTACACAAATATAGTGATACAGAAAAAAGCAATTCAAACAAAATACCAACAAAATAATTTCTTACACAAATATAGTGAGGGTAACTTAAAAACATTATGCATTCCAAACATTTGTTCATCCACGTTTGCAGTAAATACAGCGATCGAGCGTGCCTAGAAGTGACAAAACGGTTTGTACACACTACAATTTACTTTTACATATTTTGCACTATGAGAACTATTTTCTGCTAGTAATGGTAGTAAATTGTAGTATAAATTTTTATAATACAATGAACTTAGTACATATTTCGTTGATTACTAATTGAATTATTATGTGTATATCTTATTTGTTAGCGTTGTATATATATGTGATTGCGTTGATTGATTTAGATAAAATTAAATATTTTTATTATTAGCATTAGTGCATGTAGTATCATTATTAATTTAACTATTTATTAAAACGAAGACAATACATTTACACAAATATATAAACCCACAAATTTATGCAATAAAATATATAAATTAATGCCATAGATAAACATTATGATTTCTAAAATTGTATTTTTGCTTATATTATTTATCAATGATGTGATACTTTAATATTTTTTTGAAAGTTTGTATATTTTTCGCAGCTTTTACCACATTAGGCAGCTGATTATAGATTTTAGTACCTTCATACATAATACACCTCTTTCCATAATTTGTTCGCGATTTTAACAGAAATATATCATTCCTACTCCTAAGACCAATTCTATGCACATCCTTTTTTTTATTAAATTTTATTTGCGTATGTATATTATTAGTTAGTATTTTTCTAATGAGTATACAATTTTTATATTTGTATTGTTGAATATTTAAATATAATGCAAAAATAAATACATTATAAATAGATATTAATCGAATAGTTATAATCGATATGTTGTGTTGTCAATCCGATAGTATAATCGTTCAGCATACACTCGCCCACTTCACTTGACCTGTGATCATGTGCTAGGCAAGACGCACTTACCTTCCTTGTGACTTATATTAAATAAATAAATAATATTCAGAAGTATAAATGTGTTTTTGGTTCTTAACCTCCTACAGGTTATGGGCCCAGTATATTTTGCTAAAAATTATTAAAGGTGTTCGTAATTTAAACTAGTCAAGTGTTCTACCCACATCGTGAAAAAAAAAAAAAAGGCTAAGTATTCTTTTTTTTTTAAATTGTTTATAATGGAAAACTCAAAGCTAAAGCGTAATATAAAACCTTTTAATGGCGAGAAGTATAGTGTCTGGAAATTTAGAATACGCGCGCTTTTGAGCGAAATAGATGTTATAAGTGTAATTGATGAGGAAGTACCCGCAACGCGGAGTCAAGAGTGGATCACAAAGAATTGTATTGCTAAAAGTACTATCGTTGAGTATTTAGAAGATTCTTATCTTGGTTTTGCTAAGGAAGAAATAACGGCTAAATATATTTTTAAAAATTTAGATGCCCTTTACGAACGAAAAAGTCTCGCGACACAGTTGGCTTTGAGAAAACAGTTATTGTCTCTGAAATTACATGGTGATACACCACTAATAAAACATTTTACTATTTTTGAAGATTTGATTATGGAATTATTGGCTGCCGGAGCCAAGTTAGAAGAAACTGATAAAGTGTCTCATTTATTACTTACACTTCCGGCGACATATGACGGTGTCATAACTGCGATTGAAACATTGTCGGAAGATAATTTAACACTGGGTTTCGTAAAAACAAGACTCTTGGATCATGAAGTTAAACTAAAAACAGAAAGTCGTGATACGAGTATGAAAGTTTTACAGATAGAAAATAAAAACGAGATATTTAAAAGAAAAAGGAACGAAAATACATATATAACAAATAACTACCCGCATAAAAATTATAATCATAAGGCAAAGAGGAAGATACACTTTCTAAAATGCCATCATTGTGGACGTAAAGGACACGTTAAAAATGATTGTTTTTATTTCAAGAGAGTGAATAAGAGTAAAGTTTCCGACAGAAGCAGGACTGTTCAGTCGGTAGTTATGACCGAACCAACTACTGCTGATGAACAGCCTAGATTTGCTTTTATGGCCGGTAAAAATGAGAAGAATATTCATAATGACCGAATCACATTCCTGTTGGACTCTGGAGCGTCAGACCACATTATAAACAGGGATGATTTTTTTATTAACTACACTATCTTACTAATTCCAATTAAAATTTCAGTTGCTAAAGTTGGCGAATTTATTACAGCTACAAAAAGAGGAACAATAAAAGTTACCAGTGACATGGGTATTGATGGAGTTTTGGAGGATGTATTATTCTGCCCTGAGGTTCCATATAACTTACTGTCCGTTTCCAAGATACAAAGAGCTGGATTGACAATTATTTTCGATCAAGATGGAGCTCATATATTCAAGGATGGTAAGACATTAATTAATGGTAAGTTTTTAAACAATTTAATTGCTATAGATTTACTTGTGTATGTGACTATTGACGGTTTCGTTTCCCAAGTATGCACTAGTAATAATTATGAGCTATGGCATCAACGCTTAGGACATATTAGTAAAAATAAATTCTTAGAATTGAAAAGTAACAACATGATTGATAATATAAATGAAATTGAAACAATATTTCCAATTGATATGTTATGTGAGGCATGCATAAATGGGAAACAATCGCGTCTACCTTTTAATAATATTAAAGATAAAAGTTATGTGAAACGACCATTATATATTGTGCATTCCGACGTATGTGAACCTATCACTCCTTCGACCGTAGATAATAAAAATTATTTTGTGATATTTGTTGATCAATATACTCATTACTGTACCGTATACCTGATATCATATAAGTCAGATGTATTCTCAGTTTTTAAAGATTATATCGCAAAAAGTGAAGCTAATTTTAACTATAGGTTAGTTAATCTGTATTGCGATAACGGTGGAGAATATTTATCTACCGACATGAAAGATTACTGTGTGCAAAAAGGAATAACTTATCATTTAACTGTTCCTAGAACTCCACAGTTAAATGGTGTTTCAGAGCGTATGATTAGAACTGTAACTGAAAAAGCTCGCGCTATATTGAGCGGTGCTAAATTAGAAAAAGTTTTCTCGGGTGAAGCTGTATTGACAGCTGTTTATTTAATAAATTTAACACCTACTAAAGCTTTGAAACAGTCTCGAACACCATTTGAAATGTGGCATAATAGGAAACCACAAATTAAATACCTGAGAGTTTTTGGATCTACTGTCTATGTTCATAATAAAACAAATAAGAATAAATTTGATGATAAATCGTGGAAAGGTATATTGGTGGGATATGAACCAAACGGTTATAAAGTTTGGAATACTGAAAGCAATAAATATGTTACTGTAAGGGATGTTGTAATAGATGAGACGAATTTTATGATATCCAGGCCTAAATTAAGGCTTGAAGGGAGTGATCCTAAAACTTCCACTGACAAAACTGATATTACTGAACTAGGTTCAAAATCAGTGTCAGAAGAGGGTCAACATTTTGACAGCTCTAAATCAGATAGTTTAAAATCTGATCAAAGTCTCAATAATCCCACAGAAATTCAGATGAGTGAGCCTGCTCAGTCAGATCGTGAAACTGAATGTAAACATATTCCCCCAATAGTAAACAATGAACACACAGAACACACTTTACGTAGAAGTAATAGGCTTAAAGGTCGTCCCCCTGTATCGTATAAAGAAATAGATGACGATTGCTTAGTATATGCACAATCTATTATATGTCAAGTTCCTAATTGTTATAATGAAATTAAAACTCGAGAAGATAAATCTCAGTGGGAGCAGGCTATTAAAGATGAACTTAATTCTCTCTTAATTAACAATACGTGGACATTAGTCCCTAGGCCTATTAATAAAAACATTATAGATTGCAAATGGGTTTTCTCCATAAAACATAATGAATTTGGAGAACCTCTTAAATACAAAGCCCGTCTTGTAGCAAGGGGTTTCAGTCAAAAATATCTTATTGATTATAATGAAACTTTTGCTCCTGTTGCTAGGATATCTAGTTTCAGATTCATTATTGGTTTTGCTAATCAGTATAACTTACTTGTACATCATATGGACGTCAAAACTGCGTTTTTAAATGGCCTATTAAAAGAAGAGATATATATGAATGTTCCCGAGGGTGTATATAGTAAAAATAATTGTTTGTAAATTAAATAGAGCATTGTATGGCCTGAAACAGGCAGCTAGATGTTGGTTCGAACTATTTGAACAATCACTTAAAGAAAAGGGCTTCGAAAATTCATCAGTTGATAGATGTATATATGTTTTAAATAATGGGAGTATATGTAAAAATATTTATATAGTGCTATATGTCGACGATTTGGTTATAGCATGTGCTGATATCCATATTATGACAGATATAAAACAGTATTTAAAAAGTAAATTTTCTATGACTGACTTAGGGGATATTAAATTATTTTTAGGTATTAGAATTACGAGGTATAATGATAAAATAACACTAGACCAAAGTGCATATATTAAGACAATCTTAAATAAATATAAAATGTCTGACTGTAATCCTACAAATACGCCTATGGAAATCAAACCGAATTATAAAGCGTTAAATTTAGATTGTAATTATAATGCACCATGTCGTAATCTCATTGGTTGTTTAATGTATGTAATGTTATGTACGAGACCGGACTTGAGCACTGCTGTTAATATATTGAGTCGATATACTAATAAAAATAATAAAGAATTATGGCAATGCCTGAAAAGGGTGCTTAGATATTTAAAAGGTTCAATTGATCTAAAATTAGTATATAAAAAGTGTAACTATAATCATATACTTAGTGGCTATGTAGACTCAGATTGGGGAGGAAATGATATGACAGATAGAAAGAGTACTACAGGTCATTTATTTAAATTATTTGAAAATTGTACAATTACATGGAATACAAAGAGACAAACATCAGTAGCAGCTTCATCCACTGAAGCTGAATATATGGCCTTGTTTGAGGCGGTTAAAGAAGCATTATGGCTTAAGTCTCTAGCTATAAGTATTCACATGAATATAAAAGATCCGATAGTTATTTTTGAGGATAATAACGGCTGCATTAGTATAGCGAATAAGCTAACTAATCATAAGCGGTCGAAGCATATTGATATAAAATATCATTTTACCCGAGAACAGGTTGAGAAAAATGTTATAAAATTAAATTATATTCCCACAGGTAAACAGTTAGCCGATGTGCTCACAAAACCGCTACCTTCAATAGCATTTAAAACACATAGAGCCAAAATGGGCTTAGAATAAGTGTGTCATGTATTTAATATTTAATTTCAATGTGTTTCATGTAAAATTAATTGTAATGTAACATGGTTTGATTAGGTTTTCGCTGGGTTTCCCTAATCCTTTGCAACAAATGTTGAACCATTAATTCATTATTTTTCCCAGCCAATCACTTGGAAGTTATGTGTGATCAATGTAGATAACTATGTAATTAATTGTAAACAGAATCAATAGATTAATTTTTGAGGGGGCGTGTTGAATATTTAAATATAATGCAAAAATAAATACATTATAAATAGATATTAATCGAATAGTTATAATCGATATGTTGTGTTGTCAATCCGATAGTATAATCGTTCAGCATACACTCGCCCACTTCACTTGACCTGTGATCATGTGCTAGGCAAGACGCACTTACCTTCCTTGTGACTTACATTAAATAAATAAATAATATTCAGAAGTATCAATGTGTTTTTGGTTCTTAACCTCCTACATGTATGTCTGTAGAACAGTCATGATTTTGGTTTCCTTGTAGATTTTTTGATTTGACGTGAGAAAATCGAAATGAAATAATTTCCTTATTAGTTTATTTTGTGCTGTTTGCACGGTTTCTAGATTGCTTTTAGCAGCTGTACTACCCCATACTTTTATACCCCATACTTTTATTAAGTAGTCTATATGCGGTTTTATAAGTGAATTATATATAGTGTGCCTTAATTGATGCGGTATGCAACGTACGATGCCACGTAACGTTCCTGACAAACAGACAAATTTATTCCTTAGTTTTTGTATGTGCGGTTTCCATGTAAGATTTTTATCCAAAATGAGGCCCAGATACTTTTCTTGATTTACTTGATTAATTTTTACATTATTAATAGTTAGTTAGGCAAATTTGTTTTTTTTTTTGTTTTTAGCCTAGAAAATAATGTAATTAGTTTTAGAGATATTAATAGTTAATAAGTTACTGAGAAACCACTCATTCAACCGTTCAAGGTCACTTTGTGCATCTGCAATCACAGTGTCAATTTGGTGGCCAAAATAAAATAGCGATATATCATCTGCATATACTTCTATATCAGCCGAAATAAGACAGGTATTATACTGATAAACAACACAGTTCTTTATGATGTTGTTCATGTCGTTCACACAGGCAAGATCACAAGGCAAGAAGACGACAAGACGCCCCGGGTCTGCCGTCCGCAGGCCGCGCCCTACGGTGGCCGGTAGTCGGCTACCCTACGAGGCCCAGTACGTCTACTGCGGGAGGGGAGAGAGGAGGCAGCCTCTCTCTCCCTTTCCGCCGCCTCCTTCGCGAGCATCACGGCCTCGCAGAAGGTGGCGACGGCACTCCACCCTGATTCGCTCCCGACCATGGTAGACACAACAGCCGGAAGCGATAGGTTCCCTGCAGCACCTACGGCCGCGACCAAGTCACGACGCTGCTCGGCCCAAGCTGGGCACTCCGCCAACGTATGTAGCACCGTATCGTCGCGGCAATCACCACAATGGTGGCACTGGGACGTCGGCTCCCGGCCTATGCGACACAGGTATTTCCCGAAACACCCGTGTCTGGTAAGCACCTGCGTCAGCCGGAAGCTGAGGGCGCCGTGGCTCCTATTGAGCCACTCCTCTAGAACGGGCTTACCGCCGCTACAGCGGCGTGCCCCGCCGTGGGTTGCGCTAAGCGCGTCTGCCACTACGCCACTAGGACCTGGCGGAGCTCCGCCCTGCGTGCCTCAACCTGTCGAGGCACCAGGTGCTCGCCTCGCTCGACCGCCTCCGCGCGCCACCAATAGAGTAACGCGAGGAGCCTTGTGTCGAGGTCCAATGGCGGGGATCCGGCTAGGAGGCTCGCTGCCTCAAAGGAGATCGTACGGTATCCCCTTATGATTCTGACGGCCATCGCGTGCTGCGCGGCTTTCGCAGCGCGGCGACGTTGCGGGCCGTCAGGGCGTCCGCCCACACAGGGGCGCCGTATAGCGCCATCGACTGTACGACCCCCGTGTAGAGCCTCCGGCAGGAGGAGTTGGGCCCCCCCAGGTTGGGCAGCAAGCGCGAGAGCGCAGAAGCGGCGCCCAACAATCGGGGGGCGAGCCGTGTAAAGTGCGGCCCGAAGTTCCACCGACTGTCGAGGACGAGTCCAAGGTACCTCATCTTAGACCCGACCGAGATGGAAACCCCTCCTACTATGATGCTGGACCCCGGAGGCGGCGGCTTCATCCTCGGCCCATGAAAACACAGGGCCTCAGACTTATGCAATGCCACCTCTAAGCCCAGCCGCCGGATCCTACCCACGACGTGCGCTACACCAGCAGTCGCGCGTATGGCCGCTTGCCGGTACGACTTCCCACGCGCTGTAACTAGCGTATCGTCGGCATAACAAATGACGCCGACGCCGTGGAGAAGCGCACCGCGCAGAGCCCAGTCGTACCCTACGTTCCACAGGAGCGGCCCCAAACCGAACCCTGCGGAACGCCGCACGACGTCTCTCGCCGACCCCATCCTTCTCGACCCGGGTACACCACTGCGGACAATGCGTTGGAGGTAGCGCGGCACCCCGTGGTACCGGATTGCCTCTCGGATGGTACTCCAGGGCAAGGTGTTGAAAGCGTTGGCGATGTCGAGCGACACCGCCAAGACCACCTCACCCCGGGCGACTGCCTCCTCCGTGAGGACCCTCACGCGCATGATCGCGTCCACCGTGGAGCGCCCCTGGCGGAAACCAAATTGGTTGTCCGCCAAATTCGGCCCTACCCCGGTCATGTGCCGGACGAGGCGACTGGCGATGATTCGCTCAAAGATCTTACACACCTCGTCGAGCAACACGATTGGCCTGTACGCAGATGGCGAGTCTGCGGGGCGCCCCTCCTTCTTGAGCAGGACCAGCTTTCCGGTCTTCCACCGGCTTGGAAACTGGCCCCGCTCCAAACATGCGCTTAAGAGCCCTGCTAGTCGGGGCCCGAGAGCCTTCAAGGCCAGGACTGCCGTCGGGACCTGGGGCGGTGTTCCTGATGCGAGCCACCGCCACTCTCAACTCGGCCCGGGTCACTTAGGGCACGTTGTCGTCAATGTCGTCTCCCGCGTCGGGCACATTGCGAGGCGGAACCATGGCTGGTGGTGTGTGCTCCGATCTCGACGGAAACAACGCACACACCACATCTCCAACGCGGGCCGTCTCCAACGCCCACCGGGGCCGCTTGGACCGGCTAAACCGAGGTCTGGGCGGAGACACTAAATCGAATATATCGACAATTGGACAGCGTCTCCACCCCCTCCAGGACGTGCCAGTCCTGGACAGTGCGCGCGAACGACAGGTCCACTATAGACCCACCCCGCTGCCGCACGCACGTCTGCACGGAACCCCGGTTCAGGAGAAGCAAGCCCTGCTCGACCGCCCACTCCTCCACTAACTCGCCCCGCGCATCCGTAGCCGGGGAACCCCAAGCCGTAGATTTGTCATTAAAGTCCCCCAAGACGATCATGGGACGAGGACGGCTACGACTGATGACCACCCCCAATTCCGAGATGATATCCTCCATGTCGGCGAGAGAAAGGCTGGGGGAAATACACCCCCACGACCATAACATTTCCCCAAATTGCCGCGACATAGCCCCGCCCTCGGGTGACGGCCTCGAAGGGAAGGGTGTCTGCGGCAGACCTCATAATCAGTGCCACCGAGCGGTTCGTGTCGCACAACCAGTCATCCCTGGGTGGCACAAAATATGGCTCGGCAACAACCGCCACATCGATCGACCACTGCGCCATGCTCTGGAGCAAGAGATCCTGAGCCCTGGCGCAGTGGTTTATGTTGGCTTGGAGGAGACGACGTAGGGCCATCATCGTGTGTCCATGTCCGTGTCCGTTGTCTCCCCGGGCGGGTGATCCGGCTGCGAGGAGCTGGTTGCATTGTTCTTCTTCTTGGGCCTGGCGCAGGCCTTTGACCCGGTCAGATGGTCGGCTGGCTTGCCAGATGCCGCATAGATGACACAGTGCGGCGTGGCAGTGCAAGTGCCAGCCTTGTGACCGAGTTGACCGCAGCGGAAGCACATTTGGCTGCGGTCTACCCCAGCGGTGCACCGTGCCCCCGATAGGGCTTGGGCGCTAGGAGCGCGACCTGCGCCGAGACCCATCCAACTAGAAGCCGTTTGTCTTTTATCTTTTTGGCCGCCGCTACCGGACAGTTGACAAGAATCGTCCCGAGGCCAGAGACACCCCGGCGTATCGTGCCCGCCTTGACTTGATCTGGCGGGCATCCTCCGGCCCTGGAGATGGCAGCGGCGACCTTTTCTTGTGTGACGGAATCGTCCAGGCCCGAAATGCGCAGATCTGCGCACTTGGTTGGCCTGGACACTCTTACATCGTCCGGGCCTAGAGACGCCCTGAGTCGGCACCGCTGTGTCGCTCAGGGCCGAGTCCGACCCTGAGTCTGCACTCTTTCTCGGGCGTTTACGTAAGCGTTTTGAGTTTACGCTCACCGCGCTTGCCACACTCATAATGCTGGACGCGCTATCGGAATCCGACGGCACGCCCATTCAATTCATTCAATCAATTAGTACCAGAGGTACTTTTTCACCCACTACGTCATTTGTTTTGTTTTTATTTGAAATGTTCTCCATTTTTGGTCCCACGAGTATAAAGCAAAACAGGTCAAAGGAGCGACCCCTTGAGTTTGGTCCGCGCCGGCCAATGCCGGTAACCCCCGTATCTGGGGGCCGTTCCCCTATCCGCCACCCGGGGACGCGCCACGTCGGGGTACTCCTCCCCGCCCACTGGGAGAACCCCAGCAGGTCCGTGGATAATACATGTGCACCTGCCATGTCCCTTACTGAACCATCTTAAGGTTGACTGGTAGATAATGCCATGTGGCATTAAGTCCGTCTCGTGCAAACTGTAATTCAGGAAGTGTAAAAAATAAAAATAAAAAAATAAATAATTCCAATCACTCTGTATACGTGCTGTACACGGGAGCGAGGCAACAGTGACGCGGTGGTCCGCTAGTACTGCACCGAGCGCCGCACAATACACATCTTGCGTGCGGGATCTTATAAATATATGATCGACACAAGTTTTCGTCAAAATATCTTTTTTAAATTCAATTCTTGTATAGTCTTTGATCCCGCACATATAACCGTGTTCGTGCATGAAGTTTAGATATAGTTGTACTATGGAAGTCTTGGATTTAAGATCTATATTTATATCTCCAATAAGTATGAGATTCTCTGATTGATCGTTCCTGAGAATGTTGCCTAGTTCGGAGAGAAAGCGAGTCTTATTACGCGCTGGTGGTCTATAAAGTGCAAACAGAACTACGGTCATGTTGGATTTTGTAGTTATTTTGCCTACATTTACAGAAAGCATTGTGCTTTCTGTGTGAATAGTGGTGGTTTTGTACGGCGTAAATTTGTGACTTTTGTCTACATAAACGATTATACCACCGCCTTTCTGCTTTTTTCGCAGTTCTGTGTGCATATCATAGTTAGGTATGTGATATAAAGAGTTTATGCGTTCAGTTATACCCACTTCGGTCAGCACAATAATATCTACATTTCTGTTTGAGTTAATTAGTAGTAATTCGATTTTAGAGAAGTTTTTAATTATTGAACGAATGATAACATGAAGACAAGTTAGGTAGCCTGCTTTATTACAAGGGTTAGGTAGCTGTTCAAAATAATATGAGATGGTTGGGCAGTCGAGTAGTTCGGTTGTGTTATCTTGGATGTCTTCCATTTTTAGGGTATTTTTTTTTTATTTTGTTAGGCAATTAATATTACGAAGAAATTAAAAAATGCACAATATTACGAATGAGTGAGGTTTTTGATATCACTCTCAGAGCGTAGGACAATGACTTTCGCGTTATCGGTTTTACGTAAAAGTACCATACCTTCTCTGCATGCTTGGCTTTCCAGAGTAGATAGAGAGTATGCGGGGTAATGCCTTCCCGTATAAATATTTTGTTCTCATTTATTATTGTGTCACAACCAGTAACTACATCGGAGACCTGTACGGATATTTTTCGAGCCGCGTCTACCCGCTGTCTTTTCATTTCTTCATTTTGAAGCTTGATATGAAGAGTTCCAAGTTTTCCTTCCTTAGTAGGCATTCGCTTTACCTCCTTCACCTCCTCTGGATTCCTTTTCAGTTTACTCGTGAGTCCTCGGGCGATGACTCTTAGATTTTCTTTATCTTGAATAGGAATTCCTTGGACTTCAACCACTTTTTTAGTTCTCTTTGTTCGTATTCATTCAGACGTTGCTCTTGCGCCTCCAATCTTCTTTCTAGGTGTTTGTTGCGGTTTACAAGATCAGTATTTTTCTTATCAAGCTCTTTGATCTTTTCTTTGAATGCTTCTATGCTTTCCAAACATTCATCCATTTTATCACTTGTAAACTGCACTGCCTGTTGCAGTTCTTTGAGTTCACGCTTGAACACTTTATCCATGTGTTTAGTGATGTCAGTTACGAGTTTCTTCGTGTCGATTGGATATATAGCTCCATCATTCTGAACGTCATCATCCTCATCATCTTCTCCTTTGTCCGGGACTACAAACGAAAATCGTTTAGATTATTTAGTTTAGTTTTATGAATGGGTGTTAAATATGCTGACTTCCATATGGTGGGCATCAAGCCAGTATCAATTGAGCGTTTGAATATAATTTAAATTAATTATAATTAATAATTAATAATTATAATTAGTTTAAAATAATTATAATTAGTTTAAAATAATTATAATTAAAATAAATATTAGTGGTATATTATCTGGGCCGGCCGTCTTGTTGATGTTTTAGTAGTTCTTAGACTTCAGGTTCGCGTATTTCGAGACTATTTAAGTGTGAATTTGATTTGGTCTCAATAAGTAAATCACGCTCGCAGAGCGATAATAAGTCACCTTTCTGACTTTTCCAAAAAGTTAGAATAAAAGTAATCTCCAAACATGTTGCAAATATCTTCACCATTATTGGAGTGATGCTGCCCGAACTGCAGCATTGAAGGATACGTATTAGATTGCCTCTTTGATTTAGCATAGCTCCAGAAGACTCGGGGATTTTTACATATATCGGATTCAATTTTGGTGATATAATCATTGAATAAATTATTTTCTAGCTCCTTTGCCCTTTGACGCAATATAATGAAAGAATTATAATCCGAAATATTGTTATATGTTTTAAATTTAGAATGGTATTTAGACTTTTCTTTAATTAATTTTATTAAGGGATTCCTATACCAGGGAGGATACCTTGACTGTGAAATAATTGTTTTGGATGGTATGAAAGTGTTTTGTAATCTTTTAATGTGATCATAGAAATAATTCACGGCATCTTCAAGTGGTCTACAATTGAGTTCATATCGCCAGTTCACTTGATCAAGTTCGCTCCTTATTGCGTCATAATCAGCTAGATTATATAAAAACTTGACATAAGGACGGACGGGTAAGCTATGATATTCTACAAAGTCTGTAGTGATACATATAGCTTTGTGGTGAGGGTCTTCGATCACTAGTGGATCACTGGGTAGACCGACAAATACCTCACCATTAGACAGGACCAGATCTAGGATTTTATTATTAATGTTTTTGTAATGGTTATATTGCTGTAAGTTGCATATATTAAGATTATCAATGAAGTTTAACTGTATAGAATTAACTAGGTTAGTAGGGTTCAAGGCAATGTCATCCTCTAATGGTTGCCAAACAATATTGGACTGGTTGAAATCTCCCAATACTAAGAATTTATCGGCCGGATGTGCAAGAACTACATCCATCAGACCTTTTGAAAACTCATTTAATTGTTCTGATAACGTGTTCCCTAGTTTTTGGTTACAAATATAGACAACACTGAGATGCATCTTATAAGATACCCTAAGATTTCTGCGATGTAATGTCAATGTGACCCAGATATCCTCAGCAGACGAACACCAGCCTCTGTTTTCAGTAGCAACCAGTTCCCGCCTTACTGCCACTAGGACTCTCCCCTTCCCATGACCTGACCAGTGCTAGTGTAGTCCCTATCTCATCGCCACACAAGATACCTGTCGTCAAACAATTCACTATCAGAAATGCCTTCCATTAGCCATGTTTCCGTTAAGCAAATAATATCATAAGAGTTTTTCTATAAAAATCCCCTGTCTTGGTTCGTAGTCCCCGCACATTTTGATAGTAAATATTAATGGGAGCCATCATAAATCACATTCATAAGACACTGGCATTTGTATAGACAATTGACAGGTACATTCCACTCGCGATAAGAAAATAGTTGTCATGAAATAAAAATATGTCCCAATAATTAGGCGATTTAAAACTTTGTGGACAATAATGTAAAGTCCATAACATTTAAAACGGCAATATGAGCATTTAAAATAAAAGGGAATGTTATTGTAAGTAAAACGGTGAAATACAGGCAAGCAAAATGCGTGCTTTTGCTTAGAAGTATGGCGTCTAGTATTATAGTAGCAGAGATTTGCGAATTCTTTACAATATTGAGATAAGCGAACAATAGGCCGTATGGTTTGCAATGAATGAAATAAATAGATACTCGTACCTGCGGTTCTCAATGTTGCTCGGCCGGTACGACTTATTGATATGTCGGAATGTAGAATCGAGTAATTTAGAATAAAAACTTTTTCAGGTCATGTTCTGTTTTGATGTGATGCATTGGTGAAATGTGGTTTTTTCTTATAAAATGTTTACATCCTTTGACCCATACGTGTTCGAAACCACGTTCTTTGTCTCGAGCTTTCGTTTTATTTAGTAGGATTTTGTTGTCCAGTGTTAAGTGGTCATTGATATAGACCCTGTTCTCGCCTGGTAATCCAAGTTCACCGATCTTCAATAGTTTATGTTTCCTTGCAGCCGCGACGAAATCACTCTTCAAATAACTATTATGTACGGACAAATTATGTTCTTATGATTTTTGTCATTGCGCATCGGTACCCTGGCAACGTAGTTAATTTGGTCCTTTGGTATGTGACAGCCAATTACATCCCCAATTTTTGTTACTATAGTAAACAAGTTTTCCGAGTTAGACATTGGGACTCCGGCTCCGGGGCTCAGTTTCACGATGCAGACTCTCCAGTTTATCCACCTGTTCTCTCAGAATAGAAATTACCTATTTGGTTTTTTTCATTGAGTCAAGTTCTTCTTCCAGGCTTGATACTCCGTTACTCAAGGTTTTAATTGAATCATGAACATACTCAATCGACGATTTCATGTCCGCAAATTCTGCTTTGATCATTTTGAATTCAGATAGTTCCTGCTGTATAGCCTTAACACTGCTCACCAGAATTGGCAAAGCTTCCATTTGCGTTGTTAATCTTTTGAGTTCAGACAGAATTGTATCCGCATCCGTTGATGAAGCCTTTAGGGAGGATTAGTGCGGGGGCTTGCCGCAGCCAGAGCTTCACAGCTACCATATTTCCATGTAGCTTTTCGGTCGCCAAGCTTTCTCCATCCAGCTTCGGTGATGCCTGTACAAGGGAAGTCAAACCGCCCTTCACACAAGGAACAAGTAACACTATCCCTCGTTTCGGCGTCGCAACGCTTACACGTAAACATTGCGGATAAAAGTTTAAGAAACTCTGTTCGAAGTGGCTGCCGTACAGCCGATAATAGCCGAGCGCAATCCGAGTGCACGCCGAACTACAAGTGATCGACTCGTGAGCCTATCTTGTTAGTTTGAATGTTGCCGTTGACTAATTTTCAATCGTCTTTGTGATGTGGTCTCTTGATGGATGTCCGATTTAATTCGAGCACTGTATAGGCAACACACTACGCAAGACAACGCTATGTAGTTCGAAGCAGTAAGCTGACTTTTAGTGAAGCTTGTAATTTTTATATGAGAGTGTACAAAGAGAACGTCTGGTCGCGCGCGGGTAGGCGATGTACACACTGAAGTAAAAACAATTCTGGATACATAATTTATGGAGAACACGAGAGACACTCAGTGTGAGTCAAAAAGCACGTGCTTCCTCCTTTGCCCGCTAAAAAGTCGAATTCAACAAAACCCGAGAAATGAAGGTGATTGATTATAGCAAACTAAATAATTTTATTGAGGATGATAAGTTCCCTTTGCCGGACATTCCTGAAATTTTAGAGTCTAACGGGGAGCATTTATTTCACACACCTAGATTTACACCAAGGCTGTTATAACGTTAAATTAGATGAAAATAGTAGAAAATACACATTATTTTATTCAGGATAATATCAAATTACACGTCTGCCAAGGGGATTAAGAACTAGCCCAAGTTCATTTTCCAGAATGATTACAATGGCAATATCAGGCTTATTGAGGATGATAAGTTCCCTTTGCCGGACATTCCTGAAATTTTAGAGTCTAACGGGGAGCATTTATTTCACACACCTAGATTTACACCAAGGCTGTTATAACGTTAAATTAGATGAAAATAGTAGAAAATACACATTATTTTATTCAGGATAATATCAAATTACACGTCTGCCAAGGGGATTAAGAACTAGCCCAAGTTCATTGTCCAGAATGATTACAATGGCAATATCAGGCTTAAATTATGAAAAATGACTAATTTATTTAGATGATTTGATAGTTTTTGAACGAATTTTTTTTCACAATAAAAACTTGCAAGACGTATTTGAAAGACTGCGAACAGTTAACTTAAAATTAAATACAGCAAAATGTGACTCTAAAAAAAGAAATTTTATTTCTTTTACAAGTTATATCTAGTCATGGTATAAGCCCTGACTGTAAAAAACTATCCATGCCCTAAAAATAACGACGAAGTAAAAAGATTTGTCGCTTTCACATATTATTATAGAAAATTTATCCCTAAATATGCAGAAATCAGTTATCTTTTTAATAAACTAACAAGAAATCGCGTAATTTTTGAATGGAACCATGAATGTCAACAATCATTTGAAATATTGAAAGAGCGCTTAACAACGCCGCCTATTTTAGAATATCCTGATTTTTCTCTAAAAAATAAGTTTAGAGTTCAAACCGATACGTCAAATAATGCTATAGGAGCAATTTTATCAAATGAAAATGGACAACCAATAGCTTATGCTTTTTTTTATTTTTACGTGTGGAAATACCCTCGGACCGCCACCCCGCCGGGGCTCTTTGTTCGGCGGGGCGGTGTGTCGGACTCGAACCGACTAAAACCACACGGTGTGCCCTCTTTGCGCTTTTGTTTTAGGGGGTCCAGGTAGTTATCGCCTTCTAGACCCCTCCCAGCGCCGGCCCGCTCCTGGTGCGGGCTCTGTCTCAAAATTTTTACCTCTCTTTAGGCGACGTCCGGCACACGCGGACGCCGCCACCCTCGCGGCTGGCCAAACTAATGCGGGTGGAGGGAAAACACATCCCGTCCACCCGCGGCCACACTCAGGGCGGCATGAGGCGCAGGTAAGCGCGCCTCCGCCGCCGCCCGAGTGGAGGTCGTCCTCCCGGGCCTTCTCCGCCACCTCCTTCTGCGAGATTACTTCCTCGCAGAAGGTTGCGACCGCGGTAAAACAATTGTCGCTACCGGCCATGGAGCGTACTACGGCCGGTAGCGAGAGATCCACTCCGATGACTGCAGTGAGGGCCCGGCGCTGCGTCGCCCATGCTGGGCAGACCGCCAGCGTGTGCTGGGCCGAGTCCTCACTGCACTCGCAGTGGTGGCGGGCGGGACTCAATTCCATCCTGGCGACCGAGTGCAGGTACTTTCCGAAGCAACCGTGCCCGGAAAGCACCTGCGTCAGCCGGAAGGAAAGGGTCCCATGCTGACGCCCTGCCCACTCGGCGATGACCGGCTGGAGAGCCTCCACGGCGGCGAAGTCAGCGCGTGGAGTCTCTAGCCGGAACGACCATCTGACCGTGGTGGCTCGGCGAGCGGCTTCGCGCCACTCGCGCACGTCTTCGGGCGGAGGGCGAAATCCGCTCTCCGCCCGGAAGTCAGCCACTCGCCGATAGACTTCGGCGAGCACTTCCGCCTCCAAATCCTACGGGGGTGTTCCGGCCAAGGCGCAAGCCGCCTCGGTGGACACCGTGCGGTATCCGCGTATGGCTCTGACCGCCAATATCCTCTGGGGACGCCAGAGGCGCGCCTTATTCTGGGCGGTGAGAGCCGACCCGACCACCAGGGAAACTCCCGTGGCGGCCAGGCGCGCCGCTTCCTGGAAGTTAGCCCCCCGGGCCGTGACTAAAGTGTCATCTGCGTAGCAGAGTACACCCAGCCCGGGGGGGAGACGCTCTCGTAGGGCCCAGTCGTATATAATGTACCACAGGAGTGGTCCTAGGACAGACCCCTGCGGAACACCGCACGACATGGCCCTGCGTCTCAAGACGCCATCTCGGTCATCGTACATGACGGTTCGCTCCTCAAGATAGTCTGCCACTAGCCGCCTCAGGTACTCTGGCACTCCGTGGTAGCGGAGCGCTTCCCTGATGCAGCTGAATGGCAGACTATTGAAGGCGTTGGCGATGTCCAAGGACACCGCCAACACCACTCCGCCGCAGCTCACGGCCTCCTCGGTCACGGCCCTAAGGCGCATCACGGCATCGATCGTCGAACGCCCCTCTCGGAAACCGAATTGGGCGTCCGACAGATCGGGGCCAACCTCGCAAAGGTGCCGGACGATGCGGGCAGAGAGTACCATCTCAAAAAGTTTACCCGCCTCGTCCAGCAACACGATAGGCCTATAGGCCGCGACCGAATCGGCAGGTCGTCCCGGCTTCAGCAGGACCAGCTTCCCGCACTTCCAGCGCTCGGGGAAGCGTCCGGACGCCAGGCTAGAGTCCAACACTTCCCTCAGGTGGTCCGACATGTAGTCGAGGGCTCGGGCCATCACTCGGGCTGGAACCCCGTCCGGCCCGGGGGCGGTGTTCTTGGATCGAATCCGTAGAACAGCCGCCCCCAACTCCAATTCCCTGACGGGCGGCACATCAGCCTCGCTGCCCCCGTCGTCTCCGGCTGATGCAGCCATCGACGGGGGTGTGTGCGCCGCCCGCTGCGGGAATAGGCCCTCGACCACTTCCTGCAGAAAGCTGGGCTGGAGAGTCTCCGTAAGGGGGGGGGGGCAAGACGTGCGGAGCTTTTGACGCACCGCATGATAAGGGCGACCAAAGGGGTCTGGCTCGCCTCCTGCATATATATTAAAAAGTAAAGACAATGATATTTTCATTAAGAAATTATTAGCAGAGATAAAAGATAAAAACAGATTAGGACCACGTATATGTATTTTAAGTGATGTTATGAGAATCGACAATAAAGATGACAGGCGAATAATTTTAAATGACTTCCACCTCTTACCTATTAGTGGCCATGCTGGTATGAGACGGATGTCAAATAACATAAAAAAATACTATTACTGGCCTAGCATCGTAGCGATGTTCAGAAATTTGTAAAATGTTGCGATCAGTGTCAATGCCAGAAGTATTCATTACCTCAGAAAGAACCAATGATTTTAACTAGCACAGCAAATACTGCATTTGAAAAGATAAATTTAGATCTTGTCGGTCCCTTGGAAACTGATATCGATAATTATACATATATATTAACTTTACAATGCGAACTAACAAAATACGTAGAAGCATATGCCTTAATTTCGAAAAAATCTGAGGATGTGGCGAGAACATTTTAAAGTAAACAAAGTTAGACAATGTATACTCAGGTCCTTACAAAGTTATAAAAGACGTACCACCAAACGTAGAAATAATTAATAAATATGGCAAAAAGGATGTTATTCATAAGAATCTTACAAAACCTTGCCATGAATCAAAGTGAAACATATAGGTATTATGTCCATATACGAGGCATGTCTTTTAAGTTTTGTCGTTTGTAGAAAAAAACACAAGTACTTTTTATTGTTTTTCAAAGTATTCACCACGTAACTTAATACACTTTGTAACCGCTTTTCTTCTCAGGCGGACTACTCACCGGCTGACCTAGTGGAGAGATTTATGAGATTACCTCAGGGCGCCTTCTAAGAGAACAGAAGTGTGTGCGTGTGGGAAACCTACGGGATTCCTTAGAGGAAAACAACTTACACTTCGGTCATACATACATGTATATTTCAAAAACAAATTAAATTTACAATAAAAATAAATAAATTAATTAGTGGGTACAAGTAAAACCGCAGCGGAGCGCGTCAGAGCCGAGCTGATGGTGCTCGGAGCCTCCTCGTCTTCACTCCAGGAGGTCACTTCCCCTTCCGCCCGAGTCGGCTATTTATATTAGGTATTGAAGAAAGTTCACGATTGGTATTTATAAAGTTAAATGGAAGTACGTAACCCTTGGGTACGGCTGTCCGCTTGGTTTGTGAGCCGCGTGACTGCCAGCTTGCCAG